CACGTCCGTTACACATTACTAGTACTCTTGCTCCATGTTGTCCTCACTCAGGGACCAGGCTGTAGTGCCTCCACCTTCCAAGACATCACAAGTTGTGGCAGTGCTAGTGCAGGGGCTTCTTGCACTGGCAATTCAATGCTCTATCCTGGAAGTGACATACACCTTTCTGTCCAGGGCCCAGTGACTAGACTATGTCATATGGTACCTCCTAGCTACGTGGAAGACAGGGAAGTGTCATTTTCCAAATGCCATGGATGAACAATGGAAGTCTCCTGCAAGGAGGGCTATATTCAGTTCTCCAAACCCTTGTGCCCCCAAAGAGCTTATGCAGACCTCCTTGTTCTTCCTACAGCAATGTAATTCATAGCACGTGCACGCACGTGTGGGTGTGCATGTGTGTGTACCTTAATGTACCAAGTCAGCCCCCTTCTGATGGACAACACATCACCTGCTGGCCCCCTTGTCACATTTTTACAATTTACTCTTTGTCTAACTTAGTATATGAGTGTTTAACGTTATATTTTTTAAGTTATTTATTTCATTTTATTTATTTATTATTATTTTTAAATTTGACCAGAGAGAGAGAGAGAGAGAGGAAAAGTGAGATAGCAAGCCACGAGGTTCAGGACTTGAACCACAGTTGACCACGTGTAATCCAGTGCAGTGCCTTAACCACCACACCACTTGCTGGTCCCAAGCGTTTAACTTTAACCATGACTTTGGGTATTCATTTCCTTATGGTTGCTCCCATGCCATTAAAACTTGTATTACATAAATTTGAATGCTTTTCTCCTGTGGATCTATGTCAATTTAATTCTCAGGCCCAGCAGAAAAACCAAGTAGAGGATCACATTTTGCCTCCCCTACAGTTTCTGCAGGGGAGGAGTGGGGAGAGGATTTCCTGGCCAGGACACGGCTTGCTCTAAGGCTACTGCAGCTGAGAGATCCCGATATCAGATGAAAAGTCAGCAGAACGTAAAATTCTTAGCGCGCCAGTCTCCCAGATATCTGTGTCCAGGTCTGGTTGAAGAATGGTGAGAATCTTGCCCTGGGACCAGCACTTGGCATAGTGGTTAAGTCGTTGAACTCCCACATGGCCGACCGAGGCTTAAGCCCAAACCTGATGGCTTCAAAATCACACTGGGCACGTGTGTGTGTGCCTAAGATTCCAGGAGAAGAATGGAGGAGAAGGGATTGCGGCATGACTGTCCTCCATGGGGGGGTGAGGGGGGTATGATTTCTCACTTTCCCTCACTGTATCTGTCTCTCTCTCTCACCTTGGCAAGCACACATGCCCTATGGGGTGGGGGTGGGGGGCTCAAAAAAAAAAAAAAAAGAATCTTTCCATCTTGTTCCCTTTCCAAATTAAAATTTTCAGAACATGATGTGAGCTAGTTCTTTGGGTAGAGCAATTCCAGTGTTTTCTGTTATGAATACTCTTGTTTTCTATTGATTCCTTTCATCACAGAGAGGTCATTGTTCTCCTTTGTCTCCATCTTTCGTGTCATGTGAGGAGGTGAATCCTAGAGTAGCACACAGGCATATGTCCTATAAGCCTCTTATTTAAGCCTGTTTCACAAACTGGTGAGTTAACAGTTCTCCCCGGACCTGGAACATTCCCATGCGGGTGGGCCTCACAAAGCAGCACATTTTACCCTGATGCCATGGCCTGTGTCAGTGTGGACAGACGTTGCTGGGGTGGGTTCTCAATAAAATAAATCTGGCCAAGGTTCTCCTTTCTTTCTTTCTTTTTTTTTTTTTTTTTTAATTGCCAGAGGATGCATACACTCTCCAGAGAGACAGAGAGAGGAAGAAAGCACCTCCCAGTAGGACATGATCATGCTACAATTCCTTCTCTGTTTCTCTATCCTGTTGGGATTTTGGGCACACACACGCACGTACCCAGCAGGTCTCCAAGCTGCCAGGACTGAGACTTGAACTTGTGCAGTTAGCTACATGGGATATGACTCCCTTTAAGCACAATGCAATGGGGCCGGCCCCTCATCTTGTTTCATGTTCTAAGAACTCAGTTTTGTGACCTGTGAGAATATTCTCTCTAGTTTCTACTAGCCACCAGGGAAGGTGTGGGGTGGGGTCCAGCACTGGATGACTTCAAGTGGCCAGGCCAACCAGGCTGGGAACCCAAGGCACAAAGGGACAAGGAGCACTCTCTCTGTCCAACTGTGCCAACTCTCAGGGGAGCTTGTCTTAACTGGAGGTCACAGTCCACAAGAGACCTTTCTCACTTCGACCTTCGTTCTTTTGTTAGTACCCAAATCTCCCATGCTAGTTTGGCCCATCGGTTGCCACGGATTAGCAGGAAGAGGTGGGAGACAGGGGATACTGTCTTCATAACACTATTCTTACTGCCTGTGACAACAAAGATCTTTGCTTTCTTGGGCTATCTCTGGGAGTGGACTTTTTGTAACAGAGGCTGTACCCTCTGCACCCACTGTGGGGACACGTCTTGGATCCATGGTGAAAACTTATTCTGAGCCTGGGAAATTATCTCCTGGTTCTTATATGAAAAGGCTTATTGTGACAGACTGCGTCACTGCTGGGATAAATATACCCTTGAAGATGTTACTTGTCAATAGTCAGACAATGAATCCTTTGAACTGGAAAAACTATACTTGAAAAAAATTTGAGAGAGCTCTCTTCCTTGGGCCAGCTGGTGGCATGGTGGTTAAGGCGGCTGGGTCTCACATGGATGACGATGTGGTTTGATTCCCAGATACGGCAGCTTAAAAATACACCAGGTGCATGTGTATGTGTGCCCAAAATCCAGAAAAGAGAAATGGAAGAGAGTGTCTCCCTCTGTCTTTGTCTCTCTCCAGCAAGCACATGAAGCCCTCTAGCAAATTTTAAAAAAGAGTGGAGCTTGCAGTGGTGGGTTCCCTTTCTTCTGTTCTTTTGTCATGTGAAGACATGAGATTCCTTTCTGGAGAATGCACAAGGCACAAAGACTGGACCTCCTGATGCCTTGCTCATAGCCTCCGGAACTGTGAGGAATAAATGTCTGTTTTTTTATAAATTACCCAGTCTCGGTCTCCTGTGATAGCAGCACAAAGCGGACAACGACACGGGCTGTCCACCTCCTTGCAAACATCTCTATTGTTCACCATGTAAAAAATCCACCCTGAGGAGACCGATACTACCTCTCCAGGGAATGATAGGGTTAAATAAGCAGTGAGGAAGGAAGCCTTTTCAACCAATTTACAAACCTGTCTTTATTTCTGACCCACACTACTCATTATTAGGCAAATGCCCCATAAGCTGAAAGAGACAAATGGAAACAGAAGAGCACTGAATAATCAGCAGATGGATTATACTTAGAGCCAAATAGACTTCCTGTGGCCCCTTCCTTGTGACCTTTTGGGTTGCACTTCTCTCTCATCAGATGGGCTAGACATGCAGATGGGGGTTAAGCAACTGAAAGATCATTGATTCTACCCAGGCATCCACATTTCTGACCAAATTATTTCAGTGCATCACATACAAATCCCACCAAATTTCCTGAGGAAACCAACAAACCTCAGGAAGTTTTCAAAGGCCCATGCAGCCCCTGTGGCACTCCAAATGGATTTTATTATCATTTTTCTTTTTTTGGAGAGGTTTTTGCTACAGGACACGTGCACTTGCCAGAAAGAGAGACAGAGAGACAGAAAGTGAGAAATCACACACCCCCGGGGGGGGAAGGGGGGTGGCCACGCTGCAATCCCTTCTCTATTCTCTCGGGATCTTGGGCATGTATGCACATGCGACCAGCGCGAGTTTAAGCCACCAGGTCTGGGACTCAAACCGCAGGCGACTACATGGGAGTCCAGCGACATACCCATTACGCTAACTGCTGGTCCCTCCAAATGGATTTTACAGATGACTTCAGCCTCTGCCCACTGCTTGGTGAGCATGGCCTACGTGTGTTCAGAGGATGGACTGAATCCTATCTGACCTGACATGCCGACACGTAAGTGTAAAGAAATCACTAAACGATATGATTCCTCATTTCAGATTTCCCTTGTGGATTAACTCTGATGAAGGAAATCATTTTACTACAGAAATAAAAATAAACCACTTGCTTGCTCTTGTGCCACACAGGATTTGTATTAAATACATTTGAATACTTTTCTCCTGCCAATGTATCTTTTTTTTTTAAGAGTTTTTTTTTTTTTTGCTACAAGGCGCATGTGCTCGCCAGAAAGACAGAAAGCAAGAAATCACCCCCGGGGGGATGGCCACGCTGCAATCCCTTCTCCTCCATTCTCCTCTCAGGATCTTGGGCACGCACGCACGCACACACGCCTGGCATGAGTTTCAAGCCACCAGGTCTGGGACTTGAACCCTGGTTGACTACATGGGAGTCCAGCAACATAGCCATTATGCCAACTGCTGGTCCCCCTGCCAGTGTATCTTAATCTTCAAGCCTAGTCAAAAAGATCCTATTGGGTTGTTGGGAAAGTCATGACTTTTTCAATGACTCCTTAAAACAACAGAGGCGTAATTACTGGTTCTGCTTCTCTGGAAAACCTGGATGAGCATACTGGTTTGCTCTTGGGGCTGGAATGCACCAAATTCTCAAGTCGGCAGGAAGCCAGGAGATCCCCCATCTAATAGGAGGGTGGCTCTCCTCCAGACCCAGCCTGGGTGCTTAGAGATACTCACCTCATGCCCTGAAGTTCCTGCACAGGGAACTCCTCTCACACCCCTCCTCGCCCTTGAACTCTTGCTGCCCTGGGAAATCCCTCTGGCAGGCGCCTGGCTAGAACACACGTGCCCGTGAGCCTTTCTCCTTCTCTAGACTGTGGGGTTCTCCAGGGCAGTGACCATGGTTATTTCTTCTCGTCCTGTTTCTGAAGCTCAGTAAACACAGACAGCGTCGAGGGTTCCAGGAAGACACTCTGATTGTGTTTTGGGATCCAAGTGCCCTGCCCGTCTCTCCAACCTGACTGCCAAGAATCCCAGAGCCCCCTGCCCAGGAAACACAAGGCCCACAGCACAGCTTCGCTCTTGGAAATTTTATTGGTCCTGAGGAGAGGGAGGTGAGCAGTCCCTGCTCCAGCCGAGGCCCTCACTGTTTCCCGTTGCCATTGATGGGGAGGTTCACATGCTCAGGAGAGGCCAAGAAGGCCTTGAGCTTGGGTCGGGCGCAGAGGCGAGCCACATAGGCCGAGAGCAGAGGAAAGGCATCCAGGCAGTTTGGGGCCAGGACCTGGTGGATCAGCAGCAAGTCCAGCAGGTTATAGTCCGCGAAGGAGATCTGCAGGGCAGGAGGCCATAACTCAGCTGGTGGGAACAGGCCAGGAGGTGGGGGCACAGAGCCTGACCCCATGCCCTAGGTCTGTCCCACTTTGATGGAATGTCTTGCACCTGTTTCTATCTGTAAGAAGAGGGTGGCACAGACAGGGCCAGAGGCTCACCTGGTTGCCCACGAGGAAGGTCTGACCTCCCTGGTTCTGGGACAGCAGGGTCTCGAAAGGCTTCAGGTGCCCCGGCAGCGCCTTCACATAATCATCCTTGCCCGCCTCCTGCCAGAAAGATGACTTGTGTTTCATCTTCTTAATCCTCATACCACCCAAGACCCTACCCTATAGAGACACCCCCTCTTCTGTCAGCCCACCATGCCAGAGGTTTGAGCCTCAGGTCCCCCTGTGCTCACTCCCCATGCCCAAGCTATTACCAAGTCCTGTCTGTTTCAGCCGCTGACCTTCCTACTCCATTCTACCCTCCCATCCCTGCTAGGATCTCTTACCAGATTATTGCAAAAGCCTAAGCTGGCTCCTCCGTAGGATCCTTCTAGACCTCACATTAGGACACTGCCCTAGTTAGACTCCTCGGTGGCCCTGCTGCCCCCAGGTCAGTCCAAATCAGCAGGTTCAAGGCTTTCAGGACCTGGGCCTGCTGCCTCGCATCTCTGTTTCCTACACTCTCCCCCCACACGCATGTGTGCGTAGACACACACACACATGGTCTGCCTCTACTACACAATTCCTAGGTGCCCAAATGTGTTGTACCTTTGACCTTTGCTCATCTAAAAATAAACATGCTCACACTTCCTTCCACAACTGCCTATAGGTCCTCCCCCACCTCTGGCTGCTCCAGGAAGCCCTCCCTGTCCCGAGGCAATGGGGAACCACCCCTGGCAGGTGTCTTCCTTGCACTCCTCTTCATCACCCCACCCCAGCGGTGAGGACGAGGCGCCCTGGTCCCCAGCACTGAGGCACGTGAGGGTACAGCACCCTCTTCCTTGCCCAGCACCCACCCCAGTGCCCACGCTCACATAGTTGGTGTAGATGAGGGTGGCGTATTTGCAGCGGAGGTCCTCCACGCCGTCGTTCGCTATGTCCACCAGGGCTGCCTCCCGCTGGTCCTTCCCATACAGCCCTGGAAGTCAGGAAGAGGAGAAGACAGCATGACTAGGAACCTGATCCATGCAACCACTGGCTGGCCCACTGCAAGCCACGTGGCTGTCTGGGGCCATAGCCTGGGACCGGGGAAGACCTGGTGGACAGAAGAATGGCTGGCCCTGAGATACAGTAGGTCTCAACGCACAGGGGAGACAGGCGGGACATGCCAGGGTGACGGGCAGACCTGGGCTTGCTCTTTCTTGGCAAGGTAAGTAACCTGTGCCTCAGCTTCCTCCACTCCGTGGGCAGTTTGACTTAACAGGAAGAGGCTCAAAGGCAGATGCCCAGGAACACAGGCTGGTGCTCACCCACCCCTGCCTTGGGCCATGCTCAGGACTCACCGAGGGAGCGGCCCAGGTGACGCAGGATGGCATTGGACTGGTACAGGGTGAAGTCTCCGTCCTGGAACTTGGGGAGCTGCCCGTACAACTGGGGAGGGGCATGGCTCTGTCAAGGCACTGAGCTCAGCTGTCCCATCTACAGCCCCTGCCCCTTGCCCAGGCCCAGTCACTCACACAAGAGGCCTTGAGCTGACCCTGCATCCAGGTCTCCTTGGTCACCACCTCCTCCTTCCAGCTCTGGCCCTGGTCAGCCAGCAGCATGCGCATGGCCTCGCAGCGCCCTGGGTGATGGGGGAGGGGACAGGGGTGTGGGACGGGCTGGAGACCCAGCCTCACAGCAAACTGGGGGAAGGGGGGCAGGAGTCCAGCATAGGTCATGGGAACGGGGATTCAGCTAATGATCTTGCAAAAGGCGGAGAAGGGATCAGTCATGGGGAAAATGTTGGACTCGCGGAAGGGGTAGCCACGTGATGGAGAACAGGAGGGTGTTGGAATCTCCCCTAGGAGGGAGAGAGGCCCTGGGCTGCACCAGCCACCTTTGCCTTCCCTCCCTCCCAGTCTCAGGCTCCTACCTCGAACTGGAAAGTAGACAATGGTGTAGGGCGGCACTGGAGTGACAAAGAGAAGTTTGTTAGGGCCTGGAAGAAGGGGACTGTGGCAGGAAGTGCTCCGCCTCCCTCCCCGGGGTCCCGTCCTGTTCTGAGTTCCAGGGCCCCTAAGAGACCCCGATTCTGCTCTGGGGACCTCCTGGGATCCTGGCCCAGGCGCGGGAGGGGAGACAGGCTCTCCTGGGAGCCCCAGCCAGATGTTCGCGGTCTGATGCGGAGCAGGTAGCTCCAACCCCGCGCCCCGCCCCCCACCCACCCCAGTCTCACGGCCATCACACCCCCACCCTGGGATCCCAACCCAAAGCCCAGGCTACGCCGACTCACTGCCTATGGCGTAGAAGACGACCCTGGCGCGCTAGCGGCGGCGGTGTGAGCGCAGGCCCAGTGGCCTCCGAGCCTTATTAAGGGTCGTCCCGCCCCGTTCCGCCCCCAGTGCTGAGTCACCAAGCTGGCGGGCGCTGGGTGAGTGGCAGGGCCCGTCTTCTCCGGCTGGGGACGCCCGCCTTGCTAGTCGGCCGCAGAGGGGCGCTGCGGAGACCCTCCTTCACACCTGCACACCTGGCCTAGCCCGCCAGGCACCGACTGCGGGGGAGGGGTGGGTATTCCCTCAATGCTTCCAGGTTCCAGGCCAGGTCTAAGACACAGATTGACAGCAGGCTGATTACTGGAACAAAGAAATACAAAGTTATCCTGTGCACGGGAACATCACAGAGGAAAGAAATGAGTAACAAAACAAGCGGTGAGATTTGGAAGCCTATGTAGATCCTAGGGGGAAGGGGAGGCAGATGTAGACTTCAGGAAAGATCTTAGAAGATCTTAGGGCCCTTAGAATAGATAGGGGATACAATCCCTTGAGAGAAATTCTCTGGGCTGGTGTGCACTTCTAGTCTTCTCTCCAGTAAGAATCAGTCATCCCTGGATGATGAAACTCCCAGAGACGGAATTAATTGATGATAACCGAGTTCCTCTGGAAGAATAGTCTTTAGGTAGGTAAGGAGAGTTCAGAGAAAGCCTCTCTGAGTTTGCTGTTTTTCAAGAGCCTTGGGTTCAAAGTGCTCAGTATATCAAAGCGGCATAGTTGGGGACGGTATGTCCAGAACTCTTTAATTTCCCCATCTGAAACTCCCCTAGGAGTTTCATGTATTGCGAGCTGAGCCGGTGACTGGAGAGAATCGGGTTAGTCGCTGAGTGGTGAGAGATCTGCCAAGAGGAGAGAACATGGGCGAGAGCAAAAATGAGTAGACCATGAACAAACAAATCTCTGCATACCTTCCTATATCCTGTCCTCCCAGTCTCCCATCCCTGGGAATAGGTCAGTCTAATGAAATGATTGAGCCTTGGAGCAGGCCGTGCCATGGTGGTTAAGGCAGCTGGATCCCACGTAGCTGACTTTGTGGTTTGAGTCCTTGACCCTGCAGCTTGAAAAACACACCAGGTGCATGTGCATGCATACTCAAAATCCCGGGAGAGGAGAGGGAGAAGGGATTCAGCGTGGCCATCTCCCCTGGGGGTGATCTCTCACTTTCCCTCTCTCTTTCTGGCAAGTGCACATACCCTATAGAAATAAAAAATAAAAGAAAAAGGGTCTTCAAAAATGGTTGAAAAAATAGAATTTTAAAAACGTGTTCATGATTGAGCTCCATTTATCTGCTGCAGAGTGTTTACCTTCCCTTTTGAAAAGTGTAAAGTAAACGCTGTGTCCTGTCCAGTTCACACAGAGCAGCATTTTTGGTCAATGATCGCATACGCTCCTTCTTGCTGGGTGATATGTCCAGGGTATGAGGATTTCAGAAAACAGGGACTAAATGACTAGTTTCCAACCAGAGTGTTCCAGGGTCTACACAGCGGTCTTGAACTCTGGTTCTATTACTCTGGCAAGATTAAGGCTTGCCTTTCTCTCTCTCTTCTTCCTCTCTTCCATCCTTCCTTCTTCCCTTTTTCCCTTCCTTCCTTGGACAGGGTCTCTGTCCCTATTTGGCATAAGACTCAGGAGGCGGTCATCGCAAGAGAAAAAGGAAAGTTTATTAAGAGTGTCCGGACAGGGGAACCAGCAGTTAGCATAATGGCTATGTCGCTGGATTCCCACGTAGTCGACCGTGGTTCGCATCCCGGACCCGGTGGCTTAAAACTCACGCCGGGCGCGTGTGCGTGCGTGCCCAAGATCCCGAGAGAGGAGAATGGAGGAGAAGGGATTGCGGCGTGACCATCCCCCCTGGGGGGTGATTTTCGCTTTCTGTCTCTATGTCTCTGTCTGTCTGGCG